GACGGAGACTGTTTGGGAGCTCCTGAGAAGGGGAAATGACGTCCGCTTTGTGCAGATCGCTACATGTGAGTGGGCATCTTCACGGTCATGGTCGTGTAGTCTTCATGACAGAGCACAGGAGCAATGCATGCCTGTTTGTTCAAGAATCCTTTGAGCGCCCAGAAAGCCTTTAGTAAACCTAAAGCCTTCAACACTCAATTGTGTTTTGCTCGGAACGTGCGACCCCTAATACGTCCACTCCGACCCCATCCATTCCCAGAGCATCGCTGGCCCAACCTTTATAACATTCAACCCGACCCATCCATTCCGAAAGCATCTGCTTTGTGGTTTTCGAAGTTGTCGGCTTTAGGTCACGGCTTTCTTTTTGCAGGTCGTTGGCGGTCGCCTTGAGCTGAGGCTGAAACTAAAAAACCTGACGAAGTTGATCCGATGCAGTTGCAACAGCACTCCCAAAACAACCCCTCATACCTATGCAGCATTGCAGCTACCGTATTCCTCATCATAATCTTATCCTAATCACCACAGAAAACGCAAGCATCGTGATTTTCATCATTTTCACGTCCGTGATGACAGTCTAGCTGCTGCAACGAATACTCATCCTACTGCTTATTGTTCCCTTCTTGACTTTCATCAAAACCGAAGCACATGTCATGCGATCAAAGCAACCTGATGCCAGAATAAAGCTTGGAAACACCGTTCTAGCACCAACGCATGCAAGACTGCCAAACGCTGTTCTTTGCGAGGGAAGTCGTCTCTCCGATAATAATCATCTCAGCAATAGCATCTGAAACCATTTCAGCATCAAAGGATGTAAGACTGCAAATAGGCGTTTCTTGTGAGATAAACCGTGTCTCCTGCAGTGATGATCTCGGAAATAGCATCTCCGACAATTTTGTTGCCTACACGTTGCTGCCTGAGCCAAACAACTTGTCAAATTCCAAAAGAACGTTTCACCTGGGAACGCACACTGTTCTTGCACACTCATACAGGGCCCAAAATCTCAGCTTGCTTGACGAACAAAAATATCACGATGACAAGGTAGTCCTAAAGCCAGAAATGCAAAAACATGGCCGAAAAACCGAAACAACTCCAACACAGCTTCAACGCATGCAAGACAGCAAAACCCTGTTTCTTACGAGGGAAACAAACTCTCCGACATTGCCCAGACCGCGGGTCCCCAAAGGCGGCGATACCTTGTTTAACCAAGCCACGTGCCACTGGCCCGTTTCGTAGCGGCCGCTTGGCCGGACCGGAGGCCTGGCCGGGAACAGCCCGAACTTCAGAGTTCTTCTGAACGGGAGTGTTGGCAGCACTTATAGGGCTCCCTTTTGTTGCAGCTTCGCACAACTGGCCTGATACAAATTCGGGACTGTTTACAGTTACAACATCGCGAGAAGCATCACTTCGACATGGCAAGAAATGCAAGAAACTGCCTGGTTGCAAGGCCACCACACGTGGCAGTGAGCTGAAAAGGCTTCCTGCATCAAGCGACCACCAGTCATTTCACACCAACCACTGCCAAGCTGCTATTACCATTACGACGATGGCAACAACAACTACTACTACTACCACCACCACCACCACGACTACTACTACTACTACTACTACTACTGCTACTACTACTCCTACTACTACTACTACTACTACTACTAGTAGTACTACTACTGCTACTACT